GAGTGACGAAGGAGGAAAGAGAGGACAGAGGGAGAGATTGAAGAGAGAAGTGAAGCGAAGGAAGAAGAAGGGAGAGCCGAGAACCAAAAAAAAAAAAAAAAAAAGAGAAAGAAGAAGATAACCGGGGTGGAAGAAGAGAGAGGCGAGGAAGGAGGAGGGAAGGAGAAGGTTGCGAGGAAGAAGAAGCCGGCCGCCATAGCTGAACCGAAGTTGACCGGGCGTTGACTGGAGTTGACCGGGAGTTGACCGGGCGTTGACCGGAGGTTGACTGCAGCGTTGACCACGCGTTGACCAAGGCGTTGACCAAGACTGCTGACCACGAATTTGACCAAGCTGGAGCCGGTATAATCTCGCCAAGCCTTCAGCCTATCCCCTCGCCCTATGGATGTGCACACACCCTGTGGTACTTGCTGAGTCAAGTTTGTCTGTCTCTTCTTTCTGCATCGAGTCTCTTCTGTCCAGGGGATAGGACTCTTTGAATGAAGGATAGGGCCTTGTTGACCAAACCCACATGGGCTGAGTAGGGCTAAAGACTGTGTCTGACGACTCGACTGTCCCGGAGGACACGAACCCTCCCAAGGATCGGTACCGACCGGCGGGCTGCTCGGTGTGGCACGGTAGGCCCAAAATCCGAGTTGTGGGCTGCACAACAGGCCGTCTAAGTCTTGAGAGGACCTGCTGATCGCGTCGTCCTGTCTGCGATGTTAGTGAATTCCTGAGGAGTTACGGGGGATCTCCTTAAATGCCTCCTGATCAGCAACAGGTCCTGTAGTGACAGTCTTAGTGTAGGTCTAGGTTAGTGACCCTAGTTGACAGGATCCTGTCCGGATTCTGTAAGTCCTTAGATTGAGTCAGTAGGTTTGTCAGTCAGGGGGTAGAGTTTAAGTGGTGAGGAGTGGAACCGTTGCCCGGTTGTGCACCTAACACCATGGTTGACCTCCGTAGTGGCAAGAGTACCGTTCCACAGCCAAAAGTTGAGCAGGAATGGATCGCCACCATCCTGAGAGAGAGAAGGGAGAAGAAGGAGAAGGAGGAGACGGAGGAGCTCATCAAACAGGCGAAGCTGAAGGCAATAGCTGAGGAGCAGGCGGCGAAGAAGAAGAGGTTGGAGGAGGAGATGATCAGGTTGCAGCAGGAGGAGGAAGAGAAAAGAAGGGTTGTCGAAGAAGCAGCAGCAACAGAGGAGATAGAGGTAGAAGAAGAACCCCTAGAAAGAAGGCGTAGGGAAGAAAGGGGAGAAAGTAGTGGCACGAAGGCAGAGGACAAGTGGACGGAGAAGAAGATCAGCGAGTGGGTGGCTAATTTATCGCTGGGAGAAGATGAGGAGGAGGAGAGAAGCATTTGCCAGGGAGCTGGACGCGATGGAGGACCCCCTGGACTGTCAGACCAAGGAAGATGAGAAGAGGTTGGAGTGGAAGTTGCGGCTGACCAGGGAGAAGAAGAGGAGGGAGGAGGCCAACCGTATGGCCAAAGAGGTGGAGAAGATCCAGGCGTGCAGGCAGGAAGTGCAGGCACAAGAAGAGACCCCCGCCAAGTTAGATAAGATTCTGGGGTATCTGGAGGTCTTGAGTCAGGCCTGGCTTGAACAGCATCAGGCCAATAAGGGTCAAGATGTGACCCTTCATGCCATCCGGTCAGGATTTAGAGAGGTCAAGAGGTTGAAGGAAGGCGCAAAGAAGTTTTGCGCAGGCGCCATTGAAGGCGCCAAAGTAGTGGTTGAAGCCGAAGTGCATCCCCGCAAAGAGCGTGTTAAGCTCAAATTTCCTGACTCATATAGCGGGAAAAAGGACGATAGTTTTGATAATTGGGAGGCCAGCATCAATACATATGTGTATCTACAACATATCGCCCTCGAGGAACAAGTCCTCGTGGCCTTCCATGTATTGAAGGATGACGCAACCAGTTTTGCCAGGTCCCTTGCGCGCGCAGCCGATTGTGAGCACAATATGGTTGCGTATTTTAGACTCACCCTCTTTCTACCCTCCTGAAACTCCTGCGGGAGAGGTTCGTTGACGTCACAAGGGGCGTTCGGGCCTCTGACAAGCTTCAAACCATCCACTCACGACAGTGGAGGAGTGCGCGAGCACTCAAAGCTGCCATGGACGACTTGGTAGCCGTCCTAGACCACGGGGTCACTGAGACCCAGTTGGTCCAATTATTTTATCGTGCCATGCCAGAGCCCCTGCGAGGGCATTTCTTTGACAAGACCCAACAGGCCAACATCACGTATGATGCATTAAGTGGAGAAGTGGTCCTGTTTGAGGCGAAGTCCATGTCGGTTTCCACTTTCTGGCATAAGGACTTAGACAAGGGAAAGAAGTGGAAGGGTCGTACCATCTTAGGTCAAGTCAGGGCAAAGGATCATCTGATCCTAACTTTAGATGAAGGTGGTACAGACGAGGTCCCCTACAGTCAGATCGAGTGGGGGCTAGAGGAGGAGGACAGCGGTACAGGCCAGGGGAGGACCTATGCTGCTGTCGCG